TAAAAATAAAAAAGCAGATAAGTGGGTAATGCTCTGCTGTGCATTCAATGAGAATTGAGTCACTGTAATGGATGTRTTAAATTAGAATTCAATGATTTAAAATCATTGGTTTACGAAAAACGCCTTTGAGAGAAGATGGTCTGTAAACCTATGATATTTTAAAATAAATGCTTATCATGYGGAAATGATAAATTAAATATAAGATGGAAATTTCATGTATTTACGGTTATTCGTTTTTTAATTATAACAAAAATCACTTCATGAGTCAATATGAGAAACCAATTAAATTTCTAATGTTGTAAAAGTTTAAGCTTCAAACGCTCATAAAAATTATATATGACTTTCCGTTATAAATTTTCTTTTTGATAAAGGTAGACAAACTTATGACTTATGAGTAATCTTGTTTTAAATTTTCAAATCTTATGATAAAAAAAAAAAAAAAATTTTATGAATTAATAACTTAAATAATTTGCAAATTTTTGTGTTTTTTTACATATTTTATAGAAATTCAAAATTCAGACGCTCATATGTCATAATAAACTATAAAATTATAATTGATTTACGGCCAGCTTTTTTTAAATGTCCACTAATATAAAGTATAAACTCACGAGGAACCTTTTATTTACGAGTAAATTTTTTTTTTTTTTATTGACATTAATTGAAAATGAGATATCTAATAAGATATGTTGCATTTTTTTGCCAATATAACTGGAATATCTGCTTTTTTTCATAATTCAACATCCCGTACTAATGTAGTTGACAGTATTATAGGTAAACGCATTCCTCAGTTTRTACAGACAAGGTGGGCATCTAGATCAAAAATTTTGCATTTATTATTTAATGAGTGGATTAACTTTAAAGCAGTTTTTGAAGCTATAATAAATGATGCYAAGTCATCAGCTGATTCTATTTGTGGATCAGTTGGACATTTAAAAAATCTTAAATCTTTTGAATTTGCATTTTTGGCACACATTTTTAGTGATATATTTTTAATTACAGATAACTTATTTAACACATTGCAAAACAAATCATTTGACATAGAATATTGTTTAAGGAAAATAAGTACTGTATGTGATCATATAAAAAACAGAAGAAACAAAACAGAATTTTTAAAAATATATAATAATGTAGTTGCTTTAACTAAGTTGCCCAAACCTTCTAGAAACAATGCCAATATGGAATCAAGATATAGAATTTTATTTTATGAAATTATAGATAATATTTTAATGCAGTTAAGTGTTAGATTTAATGATACTGATAGATTAATATTTTTACAATTAGCTGACATTTCCAAATTTAAAGATTATTGTAGCATATTCCCCACTTGTGCTTTAAATAATCTTATTAAAACCTATTCTAATATTTTTCATAAAAGTGGAACTAGAAGTATTGTATAATAACGTAAATTATCATAACCTACCACACATTTATGATATGATCAAGATTTTTGAAAAAGATGGTTTAAAGGAAGTTATGCCTGAAGTAAATAAGTTATTTTCGTTAATTTTAACCATTCCATCTACTAGTGTTTCTGTCAAAAGAAGTTTTTCTTGTCTGAAACGCATTAAGACTTATTTAAGAAACAGTACATCTCAACAGCGTTTAAGTTCTTTTTCTACAATATCCATTGAAAAATTATTAATCCAGCAGCTCAAAGAAAATGAACCATTTTATGAAGATATTATTAATA